AAAGAGGGGGAGAAAAGATGCTGAGGGCCAGATGGGCCTCTTCACAGTTCATTTATCAAACCTAATACATTGGGCTCCACCCTCCTCTCACTCACTACTGCGGTTAAACTTCCATATAATTTGGTAATCATTTTCATTATCAGAGAGTGACCCTAAAGCAGCCTATCCTGAGACACCCAGTCCTTGCAGCTGCTCTTTTTGTGCCTTTTCCTACAGTAGACCCTAAGAACCTCCGAGTTTATTAGCTGCAGACTGACCTTTGGGCTGCAGAGGTCAAGAAGGGGTCAGATCAGAGGGCTTGCCCAGTTCTTTAAAAGCTATAACAAGCTGTCCATCAGGCAGAGTGGACTGTATAAACAAAGCCAAATCTTCAGAAATTCTGTACCACTTCTGTTAACACTTACCCTGCATTCACACGGCTTCTCCCGAAGTGCTTTGGATCATTCAACTCTGGGGAAGTGAATAGACAGCCCTAATAAGCCTATTTGGAGAGGGTTGTTTATGGGATTAACGGGCTTGGGGAAGGAAACCCACAGCACTCAGATGTGCCTCTAGAATCCCAGGGTTGTGTGACACTGTGACAAACTCAGTTACCCCGAGTCACGCAGAATTGACACTTTCCTCCAAAAGCTAAATTACAGGGAACATATGCTTTCAGTTTAAGAGACTTCAGTGAGTCCCAAACAATGACTCGGCTCCTGGCCGGGGAGAGAGAGACAAATATTTTAAAACCAAGTTACAAGTTGCACTTAATATAGTCTCCCTAATATCATTAACATAAATGAACCTACCGAAGTGGGGAGAACCTTTACTACAACAGACTTATACTAAAGCTACCACCGCCAGCTGTGGAGTCTCAGGTGACCTAAATTTCTCGAAGTTGTACTCTTCCTAATGCGTTCTCTAACGTGCAATATCAGGTAATTAGAGTCATCTGCATTTAACTTTCAGAGGAAAAAATTTCTATTATCTAAATCTAAAGGATCCCCTGATAGCTTTGATGAAAGTAAAATACTGTAACCCACTGCTTGGCCTTTGGCGAGCGCTAATTATTATCTCTCAAAGCACATTTTTCCTTGTGTAATTCCAAAGTACACAATAGGCCAACGTCTGAAACACTGGCAGCTCGGTCAGTGCTGCAGTGGATGTTTTATAACTTTCACCACCACAGGCCCGATGGCTACTCGAGGCGATGCCCGATTCCAGACGGCCAGAGGAAGCTTTGATGAGGAAAAGAAAGGTGTATGGTAACTGTCTGTTTATACAGATGATATGGATGACTCTTTTAGATAGGTCACCGGGATGGGAAACATCAAATGGCGCTGGTGAAGGGGTAGGGGGAAGGATTATGGTTATTTAATACTCTGAGGACACTTCCTTCTGAGCTCTCCAGACACCACCCGCTTGAAATCTTCTTTCAGGTGTTTAGTTTTAAGGAGGTCTGCAGAGTGTCAGCTGCTAAGCCCTTTCTTGTCTCCTCCCCTGCCACAAAGGACTCGAGAAGTTTTGTTTCAGATGCTAGACTACATCAACTTCAGCTCTGGCACCAGCTCCTGATTAAATTGTTAGCAGTTAAGGGCCAGAAATGCTGAAACCAGACTCCTTTTAAACAGGCCATTTTGGCCACGCTGTCTGATGAGTTGGTGTATTAGGAAATTATTGTTAACAAACCAAATGCACTCAACAGAAGACATCCATTCTCAACATTTCCTCTAGCTGTGCTGTCTTTGGAGGGGTTGGGGGGATGGGAGACACTTTACAGGGGGCTCTCTCTTTCTTTCTTCCCTTCCTTCCTTCTCTCTCTCCACGCCCCCCCACCTCTATCTTTCCTATTTAGTAAGAACACCAGGGAAATTCCCTGGCAGTCCACTGGTTACAACGCCACATTTTCACTGCCGAGGGCCCGGGTTCACTCCCTAGTCAGGGAACTGAGATCCCACAAACCCCACAGCGCAGCCAAAAAAAATACAAAAAACAAAAGAAATCACCAGGGGAAAAGATATAAAAGGTCAAAGAGAGAGAGAAGCCTCTTAGATGTCCCCTCATGGATATTCCGCTATTTAATAAAACATCCATACTTGAGTGAATATACATATTTAAACTGTAATACAAAGAAAATGTTAAAATTAATTATTGAAACTTCAATTGAAAGTCATTTCATGACTGTAGTTGAAACTGTCGTTTACCCTGAGCACACTACAAAAAAGGCGGCAAGGGGAGAATGTCACTGGGAATTTTAAAATTATGGTTTCAATGCAAGTCTAAATTCAGAGACAACACACATGTGAAAAAGCAGCTTTCTGATACCCAGTCCGAACGGACAGTTCATCCTCTTAACTGTCCCCTTCCTTGGAAAATGCTCCTCTTCAGCCTTGTTCAGGCAAATCTATTTTTATGAGAATTGTTACTAGTAAAGCCATCAATTATTGTAATTCTGTGGCATGAACTCATTTGGAGGATATTATGGCTATCAATACATGTTCTTGACCCCCAGGCACACAGAATTTTTAAGCATCGAATAAGACTCTGACCCAAAATCCAGCATCATTTTCCTGACCCCTCTTCCTCTTGCTTAGAGACAGACGGTAATTCAACAATACACATTATGCATCTGAAGGATAACTAACATTTGAGGGAACTGGTTCCAGGCTTCTACCAACCAACCAGCCGCTGTGTGAAGAGCAGGTTAACGCGGCATTTAGCATGCAAGCACCAATTCTGTAAAACCTGATGGTCTGTAGAAACTTGCTACCAGTAACAGCTTTCTAACCACAGCTAAGTCCATGTGCAAAGAAACTGGGCTGAAGCCAAAGTCATTTCTATTTGGTCAGTTCTGAAAATGGGGCTGTTGAATAGACTTAAGTTCAAGCGATCTGCCTCCCGAGTGATGTAAGAGTACCGTGTGGATTTCCCAGACATCTGCTCGAACTAAACAGCAGTGCTCGTCTTTTAGACGGTTGATTAAAAGGGTTCTCCAACATCAGGTACTTAAGTTACCGTACTCTCAGGATGCAAATATTTCTGCTAAATGTTATACTCGGGGATAAATCATACGTGCACACAGATGACATCACGGATCATTACAATTAACGTAGGTATCATGTGTAGGAAAGCTAACTTTGGCTGAAAGCATCCGTAACTTACTTCTTTTTCGTGGCCCCTCCAATGAGAGGGATGAGACCAGCCGTCAGGAAGGGCTTAGCCAAAGAAAGCTCTTGTTTTCCAGGGACAACAAATCCCATTTCGTAATAAAACAAACCTGGCATGCCATTCCCTCCTCAGGTTCTGGCGAGCGGTGAGTGTGGCGAGGACGGCCGTCAAGATCTCATTCCTTTGTTCTACAGGGGTCCCCTCTCTTCTAACTTCCCGAAGCACAGCATTTGTCTAGAAGAAATGATCCCCCAAAAGAGAAAGAGAAAGTAAAAAAATTAATAATAAAAAAAAGCCCATAAGCAAATAAGGACAGTAAATCAATGGCTTTTTTATTATAGTTCCCCTGCTAACAAATCAATACAATAAATGATGGTCAAAAATGGCCAGCATATATTTTGTGTTTAATCAATGTACATGGCACATAAGGTAAACTCTAAAGCTCCATTGCCTTAAGTAACACATCAAGATACTGTGCATTCTCGTTCTAATTTTCTCAGTGCACCAACGACTTTTTTTATCCTGGGAACTGCCTACCACGAGCTATTATTAGAAATGATTTTCACGTACAGTTTACCACGAGTTGTTTCTTTGGCCCTTTAAAACACAGCAGTCTCTGACTTTCCCTCTCTCTCGTTCCTGCCACCCAGCTAAGGCTTACTGCACTCTTTCTTATTTGAATCATTAATTTCTATTTCCATCCATGCCAGGAATTTTTTTTTTGAGGGGGGGTTCACTCATTTTCCATGCTTGTTGCAAATCAAGAGCTTGCAAAGAAAGAAACACCAAGAGCACAAGAACCAGAGAACAGTGTACCTCCATGAATATCTTTCCAGCTTTGAAAATCCACTACGTATTTTGAATAATAGGTACAGGGATTCTTTTACAGAGTAGACTTATGATTTGAGGAAGAATCATTTATTCTTTGGTTATTGTTGTGGTCCTTAAAAAAAAATTAGGCTCATGGGTGAGTACAAAAAACACTCAAGCAGTCAAAGCACAAGCACGTGACACCCTGTTTATTCTAACAAGTAGCATTACATCAAAACTCAAATTTGAAACTGTCATTTCAACTTTATCTACAGCTCACCTCTGTGGGCTCTTTTTTTTTTTTTTTTTTTTTTTTTTTTTCGGTATGCGGTCCTCTCACTGTTGTGGCCTCTCCCGTTGCGGAGCACAGGCTCCGGAC